ATATTTGTGACTTTGTCATCTTTTTTCTTGTAGTTTATTTCTAGTTTCATAGTATTGTGCTTAGAAAAAATGCTTGATATCATTTAAATCTTCTTAAACTATTAGGGCTTAGCTTATTTCCCAATTGTGGTTCATCTTTGAGAATGTTCTTTGTGCACCTGAGAAGAATGTGTATTCTACTCTTTTTGGATGGAGTGTTCTATGTGTACCTATTAAATCCATCTTGTCTTGTTTTTCATTTAAATCCACTATTTCCTTGTTGACTTTGTCTGGATGATCTATCCATTGATGTAAGTGGAATGTTGAGGTCCCCTCCTATTGTGTTGCTGTTCATTTTTCCTTTTAGGTCTGTTCATAGTTGCTTTATATACTTTGGTGCTCCTGTGTTAGGTGCATATGTATACATAAGTGTTATGTCTTCTTTGTGGAATGTCCCTTTTATCACATTATACTTCCCCTCTTTGTCTCTCATTTCCTGTTTTATCTTGAAGTCTCATGTGTCTGATATAAGTATGGCAACACCTGCTTTCTATTGCTAGCCATTTGCTTGGAGTATTGTCATCCATCCCTTTACTCTGTGCTTGTGTTTGTCTTGAGAGCTGAGATGTGTTTCCTGGAGGCAGCATATTGTTGTGTCTTGTTTTTTAATCCATCCAGCTACTCTGTGTCTTTTGATTGGAGAACTTAATTTGCATATAGAGTGATTATTCATATATGAGGGTTACTACTGCCATTTTATCTCTTGTTTTCCGGCTGTTCTTTATTTCCATTGTTTCTCTTCCCTTGTATTTCTGACTGGCATTTCAGTTTGGTGTTTCTCTATGTTGATTTTCTCAGTTTTCTCTTTATTTATGATTTGTGGCTCTGCTCTGATTTTTCGTTTAGTGGTTACCATGAATTTTCTATAAAAGATTTTGTAGATGAAATAGTCCATTTTCTGATAACCTCTTGTCTCCATTAGCCTAAACAGGTTCAATCTCTTTCCTCTTCCTCTTCTGTTATTGTTGTCACAAATTATTCTGTTTTGATTTGTGAATTTTTGACTAATTTGAAGTCTTTATAGTTATTTTCTATGCTTTCCTTCCCTTATCTTTTATGTTATAATTGCTTCCTAACCTGTTTTGATAGCTGCAATTTTCAGATTTTGTCTGTCTCTCTCCTTGCTCAAGGCTTTGTAAACCTTTGCCTGTTTGCTTCAGGTGTGAGTACATCCTTGATCACTTCTTGTTAGGGAACTCTAGTGGTGATGAACTCCCTCAGCCTTTTTTATCAGGGAAATCTTTTATTTATCCATCGTATCTGAAGTATAGTTTTGCTCGATTGAGTTCTCTTGGCTGCTGAAAGTTTTTGTCTGTCTGTATTTTGAATATATTGTTCCGTTCTCTCCTTGCCTGTAAGGTTTCTGCTGAGAAATTTGCTGAAAGCCTGATAGAGGTTCCTTTGTTGATTATTCTCTTCTGCCTTTCTGCTCTTAATATGTTTTCTTTGTCGTTGGCTTTTGCCAGTTTTACTACTATATGCCTTGGGGAAGATCTTTTTGCATTGATGTATTTAGGAGTTCTATTGTCTTCATGTATTTGTAAGTCCAGTTTCTTCCCTTGGTTTGGGAAGTTCTCACCTATTATTTCTTTGAACAAGCTCTTCGTTCCTTTCTCCCTCTCATCGCCCTCTGGAGTACCTATAATCCTTATGTTACATTTCCTGTTTGGGTGAGGTATTTATTGAAAAATTTCTTCATTTTTTTAAGTCTTAGTTCTCTCTCCTCCTCCACCAGAATCATTTCTATATTTCTGTCCTCTTAGTCACTAGTTCTGTCCTCCATAACATCAGCTCTGTTTTTAAGGTTTCTGCATTGTTTTTTATCTAATTCAGTGTATTCATCATCTCCAGAAATTTCTGTTTTGTGTTTTTTTAGAGTTTCAATCTCTTTGGTGAAGTATTCCTTCTCCTCATTAATTTTATTCCTAAGTTCATTGAACTGTTTTTCTGTGTTTTCTTGAAACTCATTGAGTTTCTTCGTGGCAACTATTTTGAATTCTGTTTGATTTGGTTGTAAATTTCTGTGATTTTACAGTTAGTTTCTGGAGATTTGTCATTTTCCTTCTGCTGTGAATTGTTGCTGTGGTTTTACCTGGTGTGTGATGAACTGATACTTTGCTGAGGCATTTGTAGTAGTACCAGGTCTCAGATTCCAACTGCTGCCTCTGGGAGGGGCAGGAGCTGTGTTTTCTGCACCACCACGTCTGCTGGAAGGCTGTCTGTGTTTGCCTGCTGGCCACAGCTGCTTGACAGGTCACACATGGATGCCTAGTTTCTCTGGTGTGGAACTGCTGCCTTGGCCGGCCACTGGCCAAGCTGGTGTGCTAGTCGGGAGGGCAGGAGCACTTCCTTTCGTGTGCGTGTGCTTGCTCCACACTCATGGGCAGTTCACCTGGGTTGCTGCATTTGGTGGGGCGCCCATGCAGTGTTCGAGCCACACCACTTGGTGTGGAGGTTTCCTCAGGCCAGGCTTCAGCTCCAAAAGTGCAAGCATTTGCCCACAGGTCTGCCTTCCTCCCACCTGCTCTTACAGTTGCATGCTGGCTGCTGTGTGAGGACCCACGACCTTAATCACTGCTGCTAGGGAAGGAGAAGGGATCCACTCACCTCATTCCACTGCTTCCTGGTGATCCAGTCCCCCTACTTTCAGATGTATGGCTGTGTGGATCTCTCAGACGTCCTTTTGTGCTTTGTAGGGTTTCCTCTGTTGATTAATGAATGTCTGTTTTGTTGTAACTTAGTGGGGAGAGATTAAGGGAACAATTAACTCTGCCATGATGCTGATGTCCCAGATTTTGGCAATTATGAATTAAGCTGCTATAAACAATTGACTATAGGTGTTTGTGTGGACATATGTTTTCAGCTTATCTGGGGAAATATGATGGAGTGTGATTGCTGGATAGTATGTAAGAATATGTTTAGTTTTGTAAGAAACTTCCACACTTACTTTCAAAGTGGCTATACTATTTTATGTTCACACCAGTAGTAAATGAGCATTCTTTTTTCTCCACATCCTTGCCAGCATTTGGTGTTGTCAGGATATTGGATTTTAGCTATTGTAATAGTGTGTAGTGGTATCTCATTGTTAGTTTGCAGTTACCTAATGACATATCGTGTTCAGCATCTTTTCATATACTTATTTGCCGTTTGTGTGTCTTCTTGGTGAAGTGTGTCATCATATCTTTTGCCCATTTTTAAATTGATTGTTTGCTTTCTTATTGTTGAAATTTAAGAGTTTTTTGCATATTTTGGGTATCAGTCCATTGTCAGATGTGTTTTGCAAATATTTTCTCCCATTCTGTGGCTTGTCTTTTCTTTCTCAGCACAGCAGAAGTCCTTGACAGAGCAGAACTTTTTAATTTTCGTGAAATCCAACTTCCCAGTTTTTTCTTTCATGACTGTGCTTTTGATGTTGTATCTAAAGAACCATTGCCAAACTCAAGGTCATCTGGGTTTTTACTTATGTTATATTCTAGGAGTTTTGTCACTTTGTGTTTTACATTTAGTCTGTGATCCATTTTAATTTTTATTAAAGGTTTACAGTCTGTGCCTAGATTTGTTTTTTCCATATGGATGTCCAGTTGTTCTAGCACCTTCTATTGAAAAGACTGTCCTTTGCCATTGAATTGCCTTTGCTCCTTTGTCAAAGATTACTTAACTCTATTTGTATGGATCTATTTCTAGGGTTTCTGTTCTGTTCCATTGACCTATTTGTCTGTTTTCTTAGTAAAGCCAGACTGTCTTGATTATAGTACGTTTATAGTAAGTCTAGAAGTTGGATAATGTCAATCTTCTGACTTTGTTCTTTTCCTTCAATGTTGTGTTGCCTATTCTGGGTCTTTTGCTTCTCCATGTAAAGTTTAGAAACAGTTTATCAGGATCTGCAATAAAACTTGCTTGGGTTTTTATGGGATTCCGTTGAATTTATAGATCAAGTTGGGAAGAACTGGTATCTGGACAATATTGAACTTTCCTTTCCATATAGCCCTTTAGAGATATCTCATCTTGAGGTAAGGGATTGGCTTTTATACCCCTAAGTAGATCTCCCATGTCAAATGCAGGCTGCTCTGAGAGAGAAGGCATGATCCTCCCTCAGTGGCTCTGTTTGTCTGAGGGGTGCTCCTGGTAGAGCACTTAGCTGAGAGCCATCAGCAGTAACACTCCTAGCAGCTGTGGGAATTACATCCTTGGTACTAAAAGAGGTCTGCATTGTATACCACAGTATCCACTGTAGCTTCCCCTCTAGGTTTTGCTTTAGCTGTTTATTAGCCATATAATTTATTACTATCTTTTCAGGTCATAGACTCTTTTATTTATTTGATATCCAATATTTTTCCTGTTGTTATTGTTTTCTGGAAGGGTTGTACAAAAAACCTGATTTGTCATATTATTTGGAATAACTCATATTCCCTGGGCCCCCACAGCGGAGCACGTGAACTTAACCACTCGGCCATGGTCCCGGCCCCAACCGTTAATTCTTTGACTTACACTTTTTCTTCTTTGTTTCTCTCTCTTGTTTTTTAAAGATTGATACCTGAGCTAACAACTATTGCCAATCTTTTTTTTTATGCTTTGTTCTCTCCAAATCCCCCCCAGTACATAGTTGTATATTTTACTTGTGGGTCCTTCTAGTTGTGGCATGTGAGATGCCACCTCAGCACAGTTTGATCAGTGGTGCCACGTCCGCGTCCAGGATCCAAACCAGTGAAACCCTGGCCTGCCCGAAGCGGGGCGTGCGAACTTAACCACTCGGCCTCGGGCCAGCCCCTCTTCTTTGTTTCTCTTAATGACCACTCAGATTCTTGTGAAATGATCTAGAGAAATAGTATGGTAATTTAGGAAGAAACTCAATAGTGTAATTTTTGTAAAATGACAAATTATTAAGAAATTCTCAACAAGTATGTCAATGTCATGGTGGCGAGAATCATTCCTTTTTTCTCTCCTCTTTGATTTACAACTAGTTGGACATCCATATCCAAACCAAAGTGCCCTATGCACAGCACACCAGGACACCCAAGAGGTCCATCCGTGTACCTGAAATTGGGTGGATTGGACGCTGGAGGAGGCTCTGGAGCCAGGGGAGTTATGCTGGCAGTAGTGGCACTGGCAGAGGCACACTGGGAGCAGCAGAGGAAGTGGAAAGCAAGAGGGGTGAGTGAGAGTCTGCCCAGCCGCATGGGCTGCAGCTGGAGAATCCTCTTGCTCTTCAGCAACACCTATATTTCTGAGGAGAGACCTCCATGACTTAGGGGGAGGGAAAGGAAAGGGTGGACGGCAGACAAAAACAACTGAAGGAACACATTTCCTGCTGTCTGCCCCAGGATTCCGGTAAGAGATCTGCCCACACACCTCTGGGACTCCATTGCTCAAGGATCCTCCTACGAGGCTGTGGGCACATCCAAAGCTCCAAGTGCTAAGCATGCATTTCCCCCTACTCGACTCTGTCTTTTCATGGCATGTTGTTTATGTGCGTGCTCCCAGCTTTAGCCACAGGTCAGCTCCAATAAGAGAAGCCAAAACTTTGTGCTACAGCAACACCTTCTGTAAAACAAAAGAAAGGCTTATAATTGCTAACTTGTTGAACTGTTAAAATCAAAGTAAGCAAAGCCTTCCGTAAATAAGAATGGTGTTCACTACTTCAAATGCTGTGACAGAGGCACATTTTATCTAACACTACGAAAAATCATGGTAATGTGGTATCACAAAAAGAAAACGACAGCACTCCAGCAACTAAACCCAAGGACACAGAGTATTGCAATCTGATAAAGAATTAAAAATAGTTGTTTTGAAGAAATTCAACAAGCTACAAGAATACTCAGAAAGGCAATTCAGTGAACTCAAGAATAAAATTAATGAAGAGGATTACTTTACCAAAGAGACTGAAGTTCTAAAAAAGAGCCAAATAGAAATTTTTGAGCTGAAGAACGCAATAAACGAGATGAAGAAAGTGTTAGAAAACATTGGAAATAGAGCAGGTCAAATGGAAAAGAGAAGAGGCAAGCTGGAGGATAGGAATTTAGAAATGATTCATGTGAAAGAGGAGAGGGAACTAAGATTTTTAGAAAGTGGGGAAATCCTACAAGAATTGTTAGACTCTATTAGAAAAGTCAATATGAGATTAATGGGTCAACCAGAAGGAGAAGATAGATAGAAAGGGACAGAGAATTTACTTAAAGAAATAATAGCTGAGAACTACCCAAACCCGGGGAAGGAACCAGATATACAATTACATGAAGTTAATAGAATACATTGTTATCTTAATACAAAAAGATTTTCTCCAAGACACGTTATAATGAGACTGTCAAAAGTCAATAATGACAAAAGAATTTTAAAGGCAACCCAGGAGAACAAGATAGTAACTTCCAGAGGAACCCCATTAGACTATCAGCAGGTTTCTCAGCAGAAACTCTACAGACCAGGAGAGAGTAGAGTGACATATTCAAAGTATTGAAAGATTAAAGATTTCCAGCTAAGAATACTCCATCCAGCAAAGTTATCCTTTGGATGTGAAGGAGAAATAAAGGCTTTCCCTGACAAAAAAAAAGCTGAGGGAGTTCACCTCCACTAGACAAGCCTTACAAGAAATGTTGAAAGCAGCTCTTCAAGCTGAATGAAAAGACAAAAACACACAAAACTGATTGAGATGATAGGTAGTCAGAATTAGAAAACTGTAACTCTATTTTAGAATAGTATATTAAACAATTATAGCATAAAAGTTAAAGGAAATATTTAACATTGAAATATTGCTACTGAAATTGAAAATAAATGAGCATTGAAAATAAAGCTACTACAATTTGGTAATTAATTCATAGCATAAAAAGAGATCATTTGTGACATCAAAAACATAAAAGGAGAGCAATAAAAGGATGGAACCTTTATAGGTGAATGAAGATAAATTGCTATCAGCAGAAAAAGAACTGTTTTATCTATGAGATGTTTTATGTAAACCTCATGGTAACCACAAGGCAAACATCTAGAGCAGAGACACAAAACAGCAAAAAAGGGGAGACTGAGCAAATCACCGTGGAAAACCACCAACTTAAAAAGGTAAATAGAAACAGAAGGAAAAAGAAACAGTGGAGAGACAAAATAACCGGAAGGCAAAAGATGAAATGGCACTAGTGTCTTTATAAATCAATAATCACCCTAAAGGTAAATGAATCGAACTCACAGTCAAAAGGCACAGAGTGGCTGAATGGATAAAAAAAGAAACAAGACCTAACTATATGCTGACTACAGGAGACTCATGTCTGTTCTAAAGATATACATAGGCTTAAGTTAAAGGGATGGAAGATGATAGTCCAAGCAAGTAGAAACCCGAAGAAAGTGGGCATAGCCATACTTGTATCAGACAAAAGAGACTTCAAGTCAAAAATGGTAATAAGAAGCAAAGAAGGCCGTTCTATAATGATAAAGCAGTTAATGTGTCAAGAGGACATAACAATCATAAGTACATTTGCTCCCAACATCTGAGCACTGAAATATATTAAGCAAACACTAACAGATCTTAAGGGAGAAATTCACAGCACTACAATATTAGTAGGTGAATTTAATACACTACTGTCAGCAATGGATAGAATATCCAGACAGAAAATCAACAAGGAAATGTTGGAATCGAGCCATACTTTAAATCAAATGGACTTAGCAGACACATACAGGACATTCCATCCAACAGCAGCTGAATACACATTCCTCTCAAGTACACATGGAACGTTCTCCAGGATAGATCATATGACAGGACACAAAACAAATCTTAGCAAATTTAAGAAGATTGAAATCATAACCAGCTCCCTTTTCTGACCATAGTGGTATGAAGCTAGAAATCAACAAGAGGAAAGTGAGAGATCTACAAATATATGGAAACTAAACAACACACTTCTAAACAACAAATGGGTCAAAGAAGAAATCAAAAGGGAAATAAAAAATTATTTTGAAACAAATGAAAATGGAAATACAGTGCATCAAATCTCGTGGGATGCAGCAAAAGCAGTTCTGAGAGGAAAATGTATAGCAATAAATGTGTATATTAAGAAATTAGAAAGATTTCAAGTAAACAACCTAGCTCTTCACCTGATGGAACTAGCAAAAGAAGAACAAATTAAGCTTCAAGTAGTGAAAGAAAGGAAATACTAAAGATCAGAGTAGAATTTAATGAAATAGAGACAAGAAAAACAATAGAAAGGATCAGTGAAACTAGGAACTGGTTCTCCGCAAGGATAAGCAAAATTGACAAAGCTTTTGCTTGACTAAGGCAAAAATAAGACTCAAATAAATAAAATTAGAAATGAAACAGGAGACATAACTGATACTGTAGAAATACATATGATCATAAGAGACTTATGAACAATTATATGCCAACAAATTAAATAACCTAGAATTGGATACATTTCTAGAAACAACCTACTGAGACTGAAAGGGAGAGAGAGAAAATCTGAACAGACCAATAATGAGTAAAGAGATTGAATCGGTAATTTTAAAACTCCCAAAACAGAAAACTCTAAGACCAGATGACTTCACTGTGAATTCTACCAAACACGTAAAGAAGAATTAACATGAGTTCTCCTCAAAGTCTTCAAAATATCGAGGAGGAAGGAAAACTTCCAAACTCATTCTACAAAGCCACCAGCCTTACTTGATACCAAAACCAGATAAGGATACCGCTAGAAAAGAAAATATAGACCAATACCCCTGATGAATATAGATGCAAAAATTCTCAGCAAAATATTTGCAAACTGAGATCAAGAACACATTAAAAGGATTATGCACCTTAACCAAGTGGGATTTATCTCTGGCATGCAAGGATGGTTCACCTTACACAAATCAATAAATGTAACAGATTAGTAAAATGAAAGATAAAAATCACATGATCTCAATAGATGCAGAAAAGGCATTTGAAAAAATAGAACATCCTTTCATGATAAAAACTCTTAACAGATTGGGTGTAGAAAGAATACACCTCAACATAATAAAGCCCATCTATGACAGACCCACAGCTAACATTATACTCAAAGGAGAAAAATTGAAAGCTTTTCGTCTAAGATCCAGAACAAGACAAGGATGCCCAGTTTTATCACTCCTATTCAAAATAGTACTAAATCCTGGCTAGAGCAATTAGACAAGAGAAATAAATGAAAGACATCCAAATCAGAAAAGAAAAAGTAAAATTGTTGCTATTTACTGATGATATGATTTTGTACATATAAAATCCCAAAGAGTCAATCAAAAAACTGTTGGAACTAATCAACAATTTCAGTAAGTTGCAACACAAAATCAACATGCAGAAATCAGTTGCATTCCTTTACACTAATGATGCAACATCTGAAAAAGAAATAAAGAAAACTGTCTCATTCACAGCATCAAAAACAATAAAATACAGATAAATTTAACCAAAGAAGTGAAAGATCTGTACAGTAAAAACTAAAAGACTTTGCTGAAAGAAATTGAAGAAGACACAGTCAAATGGAATGATGTGCCATGTTCATGGATCAGGAGAATTAATATTAATAAAATGTCCATACTACTCAAAGCCATCTACAGATTCGATGCAATCCCTATCAAAATAAATGGAAATAGAAGAAACAATCCTAAAATTTGTGTGGAACCACAAAAGACCCAAAATAGCCAAAGCAATCCTGAGAAAAAAGAACAAGGCCAGAGGTATCACACTTTCGATTTTAAACTACAAAGCCATAGTAATAAAAACAGTATGTACTGGCACAAAAATAGACACATAGACCAACTGAAGAGAATAGAGAGCCTGGAATTAAATCTCAGGATATATAGTTAGCTAATATTTCACAAGGGAGAACAGTCTCTTCAACAAATGGTCCTGGGGAAACTGGAGAAACACATGCAGAACAGTGAAATGTGACCCCTCTCACACCACTCACAAAAATTAACCTGAATTGGATCAAAGACATAAGCATATGACCTGATAATGTAAAACTTCTAGAAGAAAACACAGGGAAGAAAGTCCTTGATATTGGTCTTGCCAATGATCTTTTGGACATTATGCCAAAAGTGCAAGCAACAAAAGCAAAAATCAATAAATGGGACTACAGCAGAGTGAAATGCACAGCAAAGAAACAATTAGCAAAATGAGAAGACACCCTACAGAATGGGAGGACATTTTTGCAAACCATATATTGGTT